TCTAGCGTCAGTCAATTTTCTGAGCAATGCATTGAGCAACTGCCCGCCTGCAGGTGTGTGTTGGGCTCTTGTTTTTCAATGTAGAGCAACCTGATCGCATGAAAAGAGCCATCCAAGCCCTAAGTTGGACTGAGTGAAGTGTCGCATGTGCTAACTAGGATCCGCGCAAGTGAGCTGTGGCTGCATCGATCAGTTCCACTTCCAAATCACGAATCTCACCAATGTAGTGCATGCACCTTAGGTGTTTCTTCAGAGCTAGAAAAAATCAACTATTCACGATTGCTCATGGTCAGGCACCAGTCTTGTCGTGTTACATTTCCTTCCTCACATGCTTTGCAGTAGAGCTCCAGGAGATCACCAACCTCAGCTAAAGCACATGATGCTCTAAGCTTTTCACAGAGATCTCTCGGCCATTGATCAATACTTCAATGTTCATTCAATCTTGAATAACGAGGGTGCTGGGCATGTTGGATGAAGTGAGCAAAAACCGACACTGAGCAAATTGGACAAAAACAACATAGGTCAGGTGCCTGAGACTACTGCTGTACCAGCTAAGCAACAAGGCTGGACAACTCGAGTGTTTGTGGATTCTCATGAGGAGAACTCGAGTGTCTGACTACCTCTTCAGCGGCTTTGCACTTCTCAATGGCTGTCTCCACAGATTCCCTGTCCGACCTTTCCTCACCTCGAAATCACTTGCGGACTCAGCTGCAAAGCAACAATTGTCATGTTTATATTTTTTAAAGACCGGGGGGGAGGTAGGCCGCTAGCAGAGGTGAGGTAGGTTAGCTAGTTAGGTATCTAGTAGAAACAAGGTAGCTAGTACCTTAAGTAGCTACTACTTAGGGCGCAGGATGGCGCACGCTCGCACTATCCATTTGGTTCCTAGATGTTTTGGGAAACTGAATGTCTGGGGGCATTTCATGATTGAGTTTATGTGTAAAATATCATCGTGCATGAGTTGAGAAATCGGAAACAAAAACGCGACATATATATATATATATGGCTCCTGTTGCGCAGAAACAAAAGGAAAAAACAGCAGCAAGCACCTGGACAAGACATGACAAAACGAGAAAAATGCCAACGTTAATAAACTCAATCAAACACATAGAGGTTCCTGAAACAATGTGGACAGTGGTACAGGTTCCTTGAAACACCCCAGTCAAAAATAACTAACTATATGTATATATATATAACAGTGAAACAGGAATTCACAAAATTACGAGAAACCACAGTGGATATAAACAAAGCAAAAAATTATACCAGCATAGACCCCAAACAGCTTCAAAACGATTCGCTTAGACCAATATTAGTCAAAAATCGATTTCTTGGTACGCCCTACCTTCACCCCAAGAGCAAACTGCTTCATCAGCGAAATTTTGCCGGCATTGACATCGCTATTTGTTCGGCCACACTCCTCTCCAGTAAACCCGGCCACAGAGACCAGCCACAGAGTTCAGGGGCGCGGCCAAGACAAGGACACGAGGAGGACAAGAAGAGGACAAGGCCCAGCCACAGAGCCCAGGATGAGAGGACAAGAGGAGGACAAGGCCTGGACACAGAGCCCAGCCACAGAGGACAAGAGGAGGACAAGGCCTGGACACAGAGCCCGGGCCCAGCCACAGAGTTCAGGGGCGCGGCCAGTGAGTGTGGCCAGCTCTTTTTTTGCTAAGGTAGAAGCCCAACAGTAAACTGTTTGGGGAAATATCGCGAAATGAGAGAAGCTGAACAAAGCTCGATGAGTTGCATGGATTTTGACCCATATGGACCGAGCAGCTCAGGGCCACTCAACTTGCTCAGTGATGCTGCCCAATGCCACTCAAGAAAAATGAAGAATGTCCGACAGTGTCCTAAACTGTGCAATGGCCCTATGGTGTACAAACGAAACGATCTGTCCATACTTTAAATAATTGAACTACATACATGGTTGTCTTCACATTATGTTGATCATTGCTCACCAACCTCCCTTGCAGTTTCCCTCCTTGAAGAAGGTGAGATGTAAGGTCTCATGTTCTGAACAACGAAAAAGCCGAACCGCAAGAGCTGCACATGGTATTTATAACTTGGTTTCGGAGTTGATAGTGAATGCAAAAGGCCGATAGTGTTCAAAGCCCGGCATATGGTTCAATCTCAATTGCCCTTGCTGCCCTTGCTACTCAAGGCCGACTTGAGGATCCTGAGAGGCTTTTTTGAACCTTTAAAGTCATCAAATTGTAAGCTTTGCTCTAAACTCGCCAGGCACTCGAAAGAGGTGGATGGGCACAGTCTGAATGTAAGTGGGGTGTGTGATGGTGTGTGAGAGTGTGTTTCTATAAGTGTGTGTCGAGGTGCATTGTTTGAGATACAACCGCCAACCCTGCCATTTGTGGGTCGAAGCTGCGCGTGCCTCCAAAGCCTACAAGCAACGTGAGGCTGGGTACAATTTGGTAAAATCGAGCTGGTGATGCTGGTGGTCTTGGTTGGACCGAGTCCATCAGTTGCAACTTGATAGGGAGAGATTCTAAAACAAATCATGACACATAAAACAAAAAATTGAATACACAGGCATATTATAGATACCTCCCTGGCCCTACCGTACCCTACCCCACCCATTACCAGGATTACGAAGGGAGTGCATGGCGCTTGCGTAACAAATGTGTCACTCTGTGGGCTTTGGGCACGCGGGCACGCAAACACGGCGTGAACCCCGCTGCGAGCCACACAGGTAGACCCCAAAGCTCCAGTTTGAGTCCCCCACGCACCATGGTGACATAAGTTGTGATCTCACTCTCAAACCTCAGTTCTCAAAGCAGTGCTGGGGGCTCGAAGCTGAGAAGCTGGGCATCCAAACATGACATTGGGACGTGAGGTGCAAGAGACAAATTTTTGCCATTCGATCTTCTCTTGTAGCTTCGACCTGACATACATGCGAAACTCCAATTGAGATCAACTCAGTTCCAAAACATAGACCACAAATTACCCAAGTCTGTTGAGCCCAAGTCTTTGTAAAGGATGCGTACCATTTGACCTTTTGTGGATGTCTGATGATGTCTGTATGAGCACATAATGAGCCACTTCATGAGGTGCAAGCAACGCGGCGACTTCTGAGTGCCAAGTTGCTGCTCGTAATCCAAACACCGTTTTCGTTCACCTTTCATACCTGTCATCAATCGATAAAGCATAGCAGACTTAAATGCCAAGTGCTCAAAAGGCTGAAAACTGCTGAGTCACTTAGAGTCGGCAACATATTTAAAAAAGAAAAAAAACACATGACGTATATAATTGCGTATATATTCTATATATATATTTATATATGTATAGAATGACAATTTTTGGCAGATTCACGGACCACCATCTCTTGTTCCTCCTGACAAAGCAACATGTAACATGTTGTAACATGTGCATTACCAAAAATGGCAACAATGTTCAACAATGTGCAAGGAGGGTGCTTTTTGATGACGAAAACAAAGAACTCTTAATTATGGCGAAACTCTGGGCGCTGAATTGCGAAAATGTGGGTTCCTAATTGCAAAACGGGAAGGCTTGGTGAATTTTACCTGTAACTATTGGTTGTTCTCGAGGCTAAGCTTTCCAGACTACTCCCATGACCTTGCAAGTCTCCAACTAGATCACCATGAGTCCTTGAAACAAAACGAAGTGAGCAGGCTACGCCACAAAGCAACAAAGGCTACTCAAAACGGGTTGCTGCGCTGGGGTCCCGTGGCTGCGCTAGGCTTCGCTTCTTTTTTAAAGTTAACGAAATGAGGCCGGGCTTTTGTTTCCGTTCGCGTGTATCTTTCGCACCATGAGGACGGTGGAGCCAAGTTGCAAGTAGCAAACGCCTCAAAGACACCCACGGTTGTGCTTTGGTGCTTTTGGCTAATAGTGCAGTGCTTCAACTCGAACACGTTCAGCTTTTGCTTCTTTGGTCACGATTCGCGCTCCAGGCTGCAGCAGAAGCGCTCAATGTCTTGAAGATGCAGAGGCTGGGACTGTGGAAATGATGTCGCAGAGTTTGGTCCGGAAGGAAGGGGTCTGCTCCGTCGAAGCCGGGATGTTGAGATTAAAACTTGCGACTCAACATGCACAACGGGTCCAAACGACTTCGTACCCCTAAGACGATTTGGAAGAATTTGAGGTCTCAAAGACACTCACGGTTCTGCTTTTGGTCCATTGGTCAACCAAAAAGCAGATGGGCGGCATTCCATGAGGTATCCGCTGCCTGTGAGACGTCAGTCGTCTTCCACTTCCAGCCCGTCCCATGCATATGTTTACGCTATTAACTATGCTTTTGGGCAATCAAAATCTTTGTTTCGCAATTAGAGAGTACCCTGATGTGCAAGAGAAACTGAAGGAATGTTTGGCGGCCTCGAGCCTTTCAGCTTCAAGTACTCTGTTCTTGCCCTCCAGCTCGATTTCTAATCTTTCGCGGTGAGCTGCAAGTGCATCCTGTTGGAGTGCATCGGCGCTTTCCAATACTGTATATGCCATGTCCTTGCAACGGATAGGCCCCTCCTCTTCGAGCTTGAAGAGTCGCTCTTTTTCTTCCTGTCGTTTCTGCTCTTCAGCTGCTTTCTGAAGCTCATCCTGCCGGGTGGCTGCAGTTGTGCAAAAACATGTCACTCTCAGTACTGCCAAACGTCCTCAAGCTGCTTCTTGGACTTCTTCTTTGTTTTGGGCATGGTTGTTCCACGCACAACAACGGATGCAGCTGTTCTTTGGGAAAGACTGTCCCTGTCAAAGATTGCCCTCATAGTATTGCTAGCAAGTCTAAGCTGCCTAGTCTCATGTCTCGGTCGATGGCTTCTGGCTTGGGCTGGCAGCAACATCTGGCAAAGGAGTGGAGTGTACATGTTAAACACAGTTTCATGTGTGTCAGTAGCATCATGTTTGAGCCTGTAAGAGTTTGGAGTCGAAGTGCGATCTTCAGCTTAGCAGGCTGAGCATTGTCAACAGCATAATCACAAGCTATGGCAATGGGATCCGTGAATGTTCTCTGGTTTTGCCTGCCAGTGATTCTGGCCTCCCGACACAATTTGGAGCAAACTGGCAGTTTGATCTCGAGCGACAAGCAAGCCAGTGAAGAGTGTAGATGTGTTAATCGAGATCAATTAAATTCACTACTTCCTTCTGTGCTGCTGAATTGCTTTGCAAATCGAAACGCTGCCGCAGACTTGGCAAGACAGCAGTACTGGCAGCACCAGAGGTGACACGTAACTACCTTGTGCATAGCTATGTGAAACAAGTTTAGAGACTTTGCTGGGGGCTCTTGAGTCCCCACTTCGGAAAAAGTGGGATCTCGCTTGCAAAAAGTTTACTCAGATCATTCCATGGATCCTGCACGGCGCATGCTGCCACTTGATGGCCTCCTGTGCAAAATGCAACTGTGACCACCCCTAAGCACAGTCGCATCCTACGTGCTATGCTCCCACTCCCAAAGGTGAACTGCGCAGTACGCACGAGCAAACAATCAAACACAGCGTCAGGCACACGTCCACCACTTGCCCCTTTTCCACAACTCTGATTTTCAAAAGGTGAGTTTGACGCTTTGGCTTGGTAGCTAAGCGATGGAGTAAAGACAAAACATCCTACAAAACTGCATTCCTAGCGAACCCTCGCTCAAATGGAGGCCATGCTAGGCGGCCCATGCCTGCAATTTCTGTACGGGCTTGAGGCTGAAAATGGCAAATCCATTGAAACATTTACATCTTTGCTCTTCCACCAATCTCACCCTTGACCTTCTTGCGGGCCTCATGCAGCGTGTACTCCGTATAACCATTGGGTGCTCGCTTGCCCTCCAATACGAGTTTCAACGCAGCTTGGAAAGCTGGTGATGCATCCGGGTTCACCGACAAGGGCAAATACCCTGGTTCACGAGCATTTTGCTGATCTACCAACTTGGCCATCTCAAGGAATGTTTCCCTGACCTGGGCTTCTGACACAACACCGTGATGAAGCCAATTTGCCATTAGCTGCGAGGAGATTCGGAGCGTTGCCCGGTCTTCCATAAGGCCGATGTTGCTCAAGTCGGGCACTTTTGAGCAGCCGATGCCAAGATCGATCCAACGAACGACATAGCCCAGAATGCTCTGAGCATTCTCCTTCAGCTCATGCTGGATCTCTTCATCAGACAGCTTCTGGCCAAGAAGAGGAGGCTCCAGTAGCAGCTCAATCTTGGCTGCTGGGCGCATGGCAAGTTGCATTTGACGCTCAGGCACGTTCACGTGGTGATAGTGCAAACTGTGCAATGTGGCTGCAGCAGGCGAAGGAACCCAAGCTGTGCTGGCACCTGCCATTAGCTCTGCGATCTTGCCATCGAGCATGTCTTTCATGCTGTCTGGCTTGGCCCACATGCCTTTCCCAATTTGGGCTCGCCCTTGCAAGCCACAATGAAGCCCAACGTCTACATTACCTGCTTCATATGACTGGATCCAATTTTGCTTTTTCATGTCCGCTTTTCTGACCACAGGCCCAGCAAGCATGCACGTGTGGATCTCATCTCCAGTTCGGTCAAGGAAGCCTGTGTTAATGAAGAACACACGCTCTGCTGCTTGCCGGAGGCATTCTCGGAGATTGGCGCTTGTGCGACGCTCCTCATCCATGATTCCCATTTTGATGGTATTTCGGCGAAGCCCAAAGAATTGCTCAGCTCGGCCGAAGAGACGACTGGTCAAAGCGATTTCATCTGGTCCGTGCTGCTTGGGTTTCACAATGTAGACTGATCCCTCTCTTGAATTCATCAAGCGGCCAGTTCCTCTGAGATCTTGCAAAGCCGCTGCAGTGGTGACCATGCAGTCAACAAAGCCTTCTGGAACTTGCTTTCCATCCGCTGTCAGAACCATGTCGGTGAACATGTGATGTCCAACATTTCGCACGAGCGCCAGAGCACGTCCAGGGATTGTGCACACATTTCCCTTGTCATCACGGTACCAAACATCTGGGTTCATCTTTCTTGTCATCGCCTTGCCATCTTTGAGGAATGGGGCCTCCAATGTCCCCTTGAAGATGCCACAAATGTTTGAATAAATCCTGCACTTGTCTTCAGCATCAACGGCAGACACTGAGTCCTCCATGTCCAAAATGGCTGTGAGAGCACTTTCTGCTGTAATGTCCTTGATCCCGCTCAAAGCAGCTTTCCCAATCGGATGACTTCTGTCAATCTCCAAGATCATGTACAAACCATTGTGCTTCAGAAAGATGCGCCCCTGGTCAGGCACGCTTGGGGCGGAACTCGGGCCAGCGGCCTGGTTCTTTGATGGGTCGGCATCTGGAGGTCCAAGATTGCCCTGAGATCCTACGAAAAGAGAAGGGGTCTTCAAACTTGTTGTAGAACCATCCTCCAGCAAAAGCTCGAGTCTCTGGACCGTACCCACAAATTTGGGCCACAATCGACACACCTGAGACCATTTGCCTCCAGCCAAAGGCGCAATCTCATCCAAGAATCCGTTGGCAAAATCGATCACAGCCTCCCCTCGCATTGGATTGTATCCACCTCCTTTGGCGGAATTCACTTCAACTCCACTGCTGGTGACAGCGTAAGCAGGGATCACATCGAATCCGTAGAGTGCATCATACAGTGATCCCCACCGAGCGTTGACTGCATTCAGCACATAGCGTGCATTGTCTGAGGGAACGACCAGCTGAGGTGCTGGTACTCTTGCAATCTCATCATCCACAAACTGGGTCGTCACATTCACAGGCCCTTTGTCTTCGCAGAGGTAGCCAATGTCTTTCAAGAATTCGCGACAGGCTGGCCGAAATTCTGGCTGGGTCAGGTCAGCTCCACGCTTCTTGCCTTCTTCATACCATGAGTCGATCTTGCTCTGGAGCTCATCACGTTTGACCAAGCATCTTTCAACTTCAGGCCGTAGCTCTGCAACCACCCGATCTAAGCAGGTCCAAAAGTAGTTTGAGCTGAAGCCCGTGCCTGGGCAAACAGTTGTCTCCACAGTGTGGTGAAGGACTGGATTCACACGAAGGTTTCCAATCGCAACATACTCTGAAGGGACAGGCCCTTGAGGTGTTGCACTCAGACTGCTCATGGGGCAACTCTACACACTCCTGAGTCCTGTGTACAATGCGCGCAAGTCTTGCTAAGTACAGCAACTTTGTTGGACCAAAATGGCTGCCAGAAAGTGAGACTATAAAAAAGACTGCAAAAGACTTGCATGTTTTAAAGTTTGAGAGTTGTTTACAGGCAAAGAGGCGAAAAGCGAAAAAAGAGGTTTGCTGAGCAGCTGAAAAGCCTGAACTGGTCGACTTAGCTTCGGACTTGCTGGGCTTGTTGCTGTTGCTTCTGGTTGGAGCAGGAGTTCCGAGCCTGGACAAGGTCAAGTCCCAGACCTTGGCCCTTCAGGGTGCCCTTTGGAGGAGACAGGGGCCCTTAGGACATTTGTCTTCGATACAAATTTGTTCCGTCAACTTCTAGTAAACTTATGTTTGTCCTTCGTGAGTCAACCAGTCTTTTTTGTTCCATCTTTTTGGTTAGTTCTTTAGTCCAAACAGTTGCGTCGACCATGAGAAGGGTTCAAGGAAATCCCCTGTCTTGCCTCTCTGCCCCCACCAGTCTTCACGGCCCCACCCACGCACTCAAAAGAAGAACCAAGAACCTTTTAGTATCTTTCAGTGGTGGTTGTGGGTAGTAAGGTAGTAAGGCTTAGTAAGAAGTAAGCGATTATATAAATATAACTCCAAGACAGGCATGACGTGTGCTGTGGTACTGTGACGAAAGAACCAAGACCATCACGGTGGTAGGCCCATGTTGACTCCGTTCATAGCAGCACCAGGCCTGGAAGTGGCTTGAGAGCGTCAGTCCGTGTATTTGTTGCCCCCGTCCTTGTTCCTAGTAGCTTCTTGCTCCTAGTAGTAAGGCCCTTTGCTCCTAGTAGCTTCTTTGTTACTACTAGTAAGGCACTTGTTACTAGAAGCGATGCACTTGTTCCTAGTAGCTTCTTGCTCGTGCGGCCAGGAGCCCCTAGTAGCGTCCTTGCTCCTAGTATGGTCTTCCCTTTCCACCAAAAACACCAAAAAAGCTTTGCAAGGAAGGCTGCAAACTCCACTTCATATCCAAGGCCCGGTCTGCTGCACTACTCTCATCTGTTGCGCTCCACTTGGCCCACTTGGCTTCTTGGCGGCAATTGGATTCATTATGCCGACAGTTGGCGCTGCGCCAAAAACCTCCCAGGATGCAAATCAAAGTCAAATTTGGTTCGCGTCAATCCAAGCCTAAAAGCATCGGTAAAAGCATCAGTCAATGCCCAGCCTTGTTGTAGTTCTGCTCACGATTTACCAACTCCAGCTTGTAAAACTGCATGTCATCCAAGAGCCTGTCTTTGCCAGTGGTCGCACCACGGTATGTCTGAAACATCAACGAGTGAAACATCAACGAGGCCAAGGCTTCTTGATGTGAGCAGATTTTGCTTGCACGTCCGTCTCCAAGTGAGCAATAAGCTGCAAATCCTGCTCAAAGCTTTTCTGTCAGGCCCACAACTCGAACTATATAAAGGGAAGCTTGGAGCAATGTCCGCTGTTTGTCAGTCCTCTTCACGCGATGGTCTCGAATTGTAGAGATTCTGCAGCCTTAGCAATGCCACTCAAGTGTGAGGAAGCCAAAGCAGCTGCAGCAGGTTATATGCTGCGACGAATCCAATTGTGAAGTCATGCAGGAACAGTTCTAGAGGACTCTGCTCTATGATGCGCTGTTGCTGCATCTCCATTTGCATCTCCTCGCTTCATGGGACATAACTAACTTCTTACAATTTTTGCACAACGATACCATGCTTTGAACAACTGCACATGCTTGCCTGCAAATGTCTGGCTCGGTCAAATTGCTCTTTGAGCGCAGCCGTCTCCTGTGAACAAAGCAACTCTCAAGTTTGATGGACTCAGAGGTTTCGGTAGTTTCGTCCATGTAAACACGTTGGACCATGTTTATTCTCCTTGATGTGCTTCTCAAGCAGCTGCTCCACTCCTGGGCAACTGAGTTGGCTCAGTTTAGTGGTGTCACGTCATGCACAGCCTGACCAGCCTGTGCAGCACAAAAAGAAACAGAAATCTCAAGTTGAAGCATCTCATCCTCGCTTGTGCTGCTCTTTCAAATGCCGTTTTTCCCTGTCGAATTCCTGAAATCACGTTGTGGTTGCAAAGTAAAGTGAGCCAATAGCACCTTTGTTGGATTCATGTTGTGTCCTGTTGTCTCCGCTTTGTGGTTTCCTCATGCTTTGCCACGGCTGTATTGAATTGTGCCTGTTCAGGTGCATCTTGCTTTGCAAGCTCCCTCCAAAAGTGTGTTTAAACAGCGACTGTTAAACAACACTGAACTCGCGACAAACATCAAAATGACATGTTCGCTCAACCCTTTGTTTTTGGCCACCACCAGACATCGCCAAACACTTCTGCTGCCACCTCCATTTCTGCTGCACTTGCTTGTGCTTTCCGCAACTCTTCTTGCAAACCCAGCGCCTGAACAAGAATGGAGGGGAAGTTTCGAAGCCCTCAAAACAAATTCCCGCCATTTGCATGCAAGTATGCATGGACACTCAGCCTTTTGATTGTTGCCTCGTTGCGTTATAATACATACATACATACATACATTCCGTAGCCATTTGGTTCAAGGCTCAAGGTTTTGGCTCAAGCGTCACGACCGCCTGTCTGGGCACTTCACGTGATCGAGCTCGACGCTATTGAGACCAAAGCCGGTGTCCTCTGCTGGCACTTTGTCATCACGATGACAGGCGGCTGGGGCAGGCGATATCAAGTCTGCTGCAATGGATCCTGCGGCAACTGGATCTGGGAGGACAAGGTCTGTGAGGGCTTTGTATGCCGTCGATGCGGACAAGGCTGGAACAAGCCAGCACAAGGCTACTCGACCAGGAAATCACCCTCGCCGAGAAGGTTTGGGCCTCGACAAAAGCCTTTGACTCCTCCTCCAGGATTAGGGGGACACAAAGGAGGTCG